CTAAACGATTTGTAGCACATGAGTCTGTGTTTGTCAGATGTGCTCAGTGGCTAGAAAACAGTATCGAATGTTCGCTACCTGACTTAGACGAGGATGATCTTGAACTACTTGAATTTTTCCCTGAATCCTTTTTATAGCTCAATCGTCAGATATATGTAGCATGTTTCTTTCTTATAAGTTTTCTTTTTCTTTTTTATATTGTGTATTCTATTTTTAAAATCAACTAATTAATTTATAGAAATTTCCATGTTACTTTATTGTATTTTGTCTTAACAGGCCCACAAAGGGTAGTAATAAAGCATATATATATATATATAATATGATTTTCTGATCTATTAAACTAACTCATCCACCGATTGTTTGTTTACAAAGCGTTTTAATTTCTCCTTGGTTGACCATTAACAGGTTGAAAGAGAAACAACTGAACGAATTTCCAGTGCATCCATCATTTACAATTTGTTTGACTTTCTATCCTCAGATTTTGTCAAGGATTCAACTACAGGGCACTACTATGTTTTCAAACCTTGCTCCTAACAGTATGTGAAACAGTTAGTTTGAATTTGACCATAGCAGGCAATACCTTAACTTGATATTACGTAAGGAATACTTTCTCTCTTCCTCAAGTATCCTTGACATAAGTATGTGCGTTCATGACACATACATTCTTTGACGATAGCTATTCTTCTCTCTTTTCTTCATTGTATGTATAGTTCGGCTACTTCCTAAATGCGGCCGAAATTTAAGCCAATTAGTATAAAAGTAGACGCAATTTGGAACGAGTAAATTTGTATGATTCTGCATTTCCAAATTGCGGCCACTTTTTAATTAGTTTCAACAATCGTAATTTAAAATATAGATATATAAATTAGTCGCTTTTTAGAAAAAATAGAAGTAGAAACATATATAAGAAGAATTGATGACTATATATTTATGTATTATATACAAAACAGCTATATCAATAAAGAATTTAATCTTTGTCACTACTACCTCCGGCATCTTTTATAACATCTATATACCGATGAGAAAGAGCTCTTGAAACTTTTTGATACCTATCAAATACCCAAGATTTACGACGAAGAAGTAAAGAAGTTTGTGAGTATTTGTTTCTGCTCTTTAATGGTGTAGTTGTAGCTTGACCAGTACGTGATTGCTTCTGTCCTTTTTAGCGTCGTGAAAATGGTACAGCTCCTACGGTGCCAGTTTTCGATGCATGGAAATCAACTTTATATACTATTCGTAATACAATATTATCTCCAATACCGACATCACTATCATCTATTGTAATTCCACAAGATATGTATTATAATAATTCTAAACACGAATTTTTATTTTGTAATTCGCCAACACCGCATAAAGTTATAGCATTTGGATCAGAATCAGCAATAAAACTTTAAGTGAAAATCATCACTGGAATGCTGATGGGACATTTCGTACATCGCCAGCATTATTTAGCCAAGCATATTACATACATGTATGGGATGAATATAGTATGAAACCAACAGTATATGCATGTTGTGAAGATAAGTCTCAAAACGGTTATACTTGTTTACTTCGGTCATTAGTTAGCTACGCAGCACAAAAAAATATTGTTTTAAGTCCACCATCGATATCAATAGATTTTGAAAAAGCTGCAATTAATGATGTATTTCCACAAACATTAGTTAAGGGTTGTCATTTTCACTACGCTCAGAATGTATGGGAAAAAGTTAAAAAATATGGTTTGGTAAAATTAGCAAAACAAGAAAATATTCGTCGTCAGATAGCTAATATTATAAGTTTACCATTAGTACCAAAAGACCAAATTAATCATTGTATGGAAGTAATAATTGATGAACTATGTAATGCTGATTCAAAATTTGATAAATTAACAGATTACATTTTAAATAATTATACTGAAGATGCTCGTTTTTCATTTGATATGCGGAATCATTTTGATTCAACTGGTGAACGGCCGCGTACAAATACTGACTTAGAAGGTTATCATAAACAACTAAATGCACGCGTGCGAACGAACCCGGATCTCTAGACATGGATTAGTGAAGTTCGTTCATCTGAAGAATCTGTTATGTATCGTTATGAACAAGAACTAGCTCAAAAACGTACAACAAGACCACGAAAAATGAAAAACATACGTGATATGTGAAGCTTAGATTAGCAAAAACAAAATATATTGAAGATAAAGACTTTGATAGGTATCAAAAAGTTTCAAGAGCTCTTTCTCATCGGTATATAGATGTTATAAAAGATGCCGGAGGTAGTAGTGACAAAGATTAAATTCTTTATTGATATAGCTGTTTTGTATATAATACATAAATATATAGTCATCAATTCTTCTTATATATGTTTCTACTTCTATTTTTTCTAAAAAGCGACTAATTTATATATCTATATTTTAAATTACGATTGTTGAAACTAATTAAAAAGTGGCCGCAATTTGGAAATGCAGAATCATACAAATTTACTCGTTCCAAATTGCGTCTACTTTTATACTAATTGGCTTAAATTTCGGCCGCATTTAGGAAGCTACGTATAGTTCTCTTTTTCTTTATATGGAGAGAGGCGAATAAACTTTGGGAAACAACGTAGTTAGAAGAACGAATCTACTATGGGTTTCAAAATACAATGGTCTTGGATATTTTTCGAATAACTTTTCACAGAAATCTAAAAGCTTCTGAAGCGAGTTTTTCAGGGGATCTTTGTAAAACTAGCTTGGGTTTTCCGACATTTACATAGGAATGTATTGATTTTTTTTCATCAATTGATAGCCCGGCATGTTCTCTTCAAAATAGGAGGGAAGTGAGACCTTGAGTTTCTGCGGTTCGACCGTTGTATCGAATTTCCGGCGAGTCCCAGGGCGGGCATCCGGTGACTCTTGGTAGCCTTAAATACGGATGGACTATGGATAATCGGCCATGCTGAGTCTCGTGGAAATATTTGTTTTTGGAAAAAGTTTTAAAAATCTACCGAAAAGCCAGTTTTACGAAAATTAGGGCTTCAGGCTATTTTCACCTTTTTATTAAAAAGTTCACTAGTCATTCAAAAAATATCAGAACAAGCTCAAAATCTCAGAATGTATTTACGCGGAAACGTGGAAACCCCAAGGTTTCCCAAAAGGGTTTCTGGAAACCTATTAACAAAAATATGCTTTTTGATTTCTTCGATCTTATATTCACGTTTAGCGGACAACATTAATCATATTCTGAGATTTTGAGCTTGTTCTGATGGTTTCAAACAGTTGTCTAGTTTTCAAAACTGGAAACCGCAGGTCTCTGTCTCATTTCTGTGAAAAGTTATTCGAAAAATATTCGAGACCATTATATTTTGAAACGCATAGTAATAATCGGTGCACCAGCCGGCGTGTTTTATCAACATCGAAACACAAAGCATTAATTTAAAATGGAATTAATGAACAATAACAATGTGGCATATTGGAAACGCCAACCAATACCAAATCAAATCTCTTACCTCATCAATTATTAATGTCAATTTTATTAAATGTATTTAAAGAACTACCAACATTTTCTGAAAAAACCGCGTAATATTTTGATGACTGCTTTAAAAATGTAACATTAGCATGTAAATTAGCACAATTATGTGAAAGTCCCCATTACTGGCACAAAACAAGGCATCTCAACGTCCTTATACTCAATATATATAAATATATATATATATATATATATATTGAGTAAATCAAAGCAAAAGTACAATGCTCACAGCCTACTGGTAGGATCTGCTTGGAGCGGTAGTTTCCGTCAGAGACAGAGTCTGTCAACATCGCAACTTGTGCGCCGCGCAATTGCATTCTAGTTGTAATTTCAATTCAGAATTGAGGTATCAGTAGAGACGTAGAAAAAACTGTTATCGTGCTACTCACTTTATTGGAAAAAAGTGTAGAACAAATAGTGTTTGGATATTTTCAATCGAATTAGCCTCAATAATATCAAGCGATCTCGTTGACTTGTGGGAGAGTTCATGTATCTTTTTCCTTGACTACAAATAATGTTTATCTTTTAAAAGACAAAAGTAAGACTTGATACCACTCGTTTCTTCTCTCGATGGAATATATTACGAATGACAAATCAATGACCAAATTATTTTCTCTCAGAAAACTGAAAAAATTCCAGTTTCTGATGAGAAAAAGATATAATTTGGCCAAATTAAGAAAAAATAATAATCGTGCATCATCTGAACAAAGGTCGTACTCAATCTAAATTTGAAGATAAGTAAACTATTAAGGAAAAGAAATTTCTAATTTTCATTCACTTACTTAATTCACAAATAAACTGCTTGGCATCTGGGCATGAATGATCTTGAAAACATGTTGAAATGAATGTTTGAACATATAATGTTATACACTGGTCATATAGACGAAAATAATAATTGTAAGAATTTAGAGGTTGACCAGAACAAAACCAACCATTATTTGATGCAGGAAATGATACACCTGTTATCCATTGATAAATATCTGAAAAATGATTATTTGTCAAATTTTTAACGATTATGAAAAGAACATAAACATACATGTTAATTGTCCAGTTTCACTTAGTCCTATCCAGTATAAATCGCCCACATTGAATTGAAATGCTGTTAGCGATTGTAATGTGACAAATTTTGTTTGATCTTCTATCACTAATAATCGACTATTACTCGATGAACACCACTGAATAGCATCTGTATAGTTTAAACGAATTATTGAAATATAATAACAGTTATTTGAAATTATGTTCCACGAAGTTGGACATTCACCTACCACCAATAAAAAAATGAATGAATAAAGTAATTTTTTATATACTTCCGAATACCTACGACATTTTGTCTTATTAAACCAATACCATCTTCCGGATGGACATTGACAAATCCCATTGATACATGATAAACCTTTTGAATTATCACATTTAACAGCTGAACAAGATTGTTGATATAATCGATAAGGAGCTAGATAATAACATAAAAGAAACAATTATTGTTCAAAACAAACGATACTTGAACGTACGTAATGGTCCAACTTCTGTTAACGTCATATAAAGAAGTAAAAGAATTACTGTTACTATAACTAAATTAGCAGATAAAACTATACACCATGGTCGAAATGCACATTTGCCTTGTTTTCTAACTTCAGATTTGAACTTTTCATTTGGATCATCTATTTTATTAAATTCAAGCTAAAATTGTTTAAAATTATGTCATTTTTATATGAAGTGACTAATGAACTCTCTATACTCTTACTTCGTATAAGATGAGATTCTCTTGTTTTTCATCAGCTATAAAGTTGTTTAAATCCGTTAAGATTTTGCCTGATGCTATGCGATTATCAGCGGTTGTTATTCTTGCTGGCATTGCAAGTTTAAAAAAAATTATTATCTAAAACTTTAATTAAGTGGTTAAGTGAATTTAATGAGAAAGGGAAATGGACGATATCTGGAAAAGATGGAAGATATTGGAGTAAAACAGTATATCTAATCGCTTATTACTAAACAAAACTCTCTTATATAAAATAAAAATTAATCTGAATATTATCATTCTAGTGAATGACAACAGAGTGTCTAGACAACGTTGTTTGTATCCTTTATCTTGCATTGCTCAGACTTTTTGCACCGAATTTATACCATTTTATATTCCATTGTCTCCTTACAGTTCTTTTCACTGCGACATATTAGTCTAGAGGTAAATATTTAGCAGAAATGTGATCGGTGAGTGACCGATTTAAATCGGTCTACATTGGTCCGGTCGAGGAAAAAGACGTAAACCGATCGGTTGACCGGTAATACTTGGACGACCCGCTCCGGTCCAAAGTTTTAAACCAGTTACCAGCCCGGCCGACAAAATACTTACACCGTATAGCACCTATTTCAATCGGTCACAACTTTAAAATATAGCTTTTAATCATCTCTGTAGCCATTGAACAGTAGTTCAAGCAGCCTCATTTACCAAAAATGTCCTTGTAAATAATTACTAGGTACGGCTTCAATAAAATGTGTTTTGACTACGTTTGAGCTTATTCCGAGAAAAGATAGTCCTAATTGTCACGGATATATAGTATGTAAAGTAAGTTTAGAGTGGCTTTTTGACTTTTAGAAAAATTAATTACAACAACATGTGCAGCAAACACTTTACATATTTATTTTTCTTATTATTCAATCAATGTATGTATGTATTGGCGACATTAGAAAAATGCTTATATATTCTGCGTAAGACATGTTAAATAAAACAGTTGAGAAAGGTATAGATGCAACCGCTGAAGATTTTTTGGCGACCGGCCGGATAACAGGTCTAAAAAGTTTGGAGCGGGCCCGGTGCGGCCAAATGCGACTGGTCACTAGTCAAACAGTAGGTTTACGTCTTTTTCGTCGACCGGTCCAGGTCGGGACTGGCGCAGATGTTCGGCTTACATCTCTGGAAAACGGAGACAGTGGACTACAATAAGATGTATGAATTCAGTGAGAAAAGTCTGAGTGGTATGGGAGACAAGATACTAACAACTTCGTCTAAAAATTCTTTTCAACATAACATAAACTGTCTGTGGAGGATGAGTAGCATTCGATTTCAAATAATTTGTTTTGTAACTGATTCCATAACTTTTGTCATACTAAAAAACAATAATCGATATTTCCTAATTCTTCGGGAAAACGTTTAACTACGTCTTACTTTTTTCGCATGCAAAGTAGACATCAGCTTTTTGACACGCATATCGATTTATACACCCGTATGTTGCTGACTGGATTTGATAGGTACCACAATTTTCATTTGTGAGAAAAACAGGACTAAATAAATTTGTGGAAGCATTCAAACAAAACCAGGATGACGAATAATTTGAATTTATGTTTGTACCATCAACCCATTGCCATAAACCTATGATACAAGGTAATGTAAAAAATCACGAAAAGAGAAGAGACATTATACACACCTGAATTTGGTGGATTCTCTGATAGACCAATAAAATAACTCGACCCAATTACAAAACCATTTGTGCCACCAATAGTTTGAAATCTTTGAAGATTTGTCTGAGCTGTTGACAAAATACTTGAAAAAGTTAGCAGTTGTGCAGTAAAGGAGGAACAATAGGTTAGTGAATCGGTCCAGTTTAGATTTGACGGTGAAGCATAAATGCATTTGCCATTAAAGATATTCCAGTCTGTTGAACATTGACCTAAAATTCAAGCGATATTGGAACACTTGTCATATAGACAGTAGAAGTACAAATTCTTTAAGCTAGCGTCTTGTCAGAATCCTCCTCTCTTGATAAACATAAGATGAATCATGACAGAAACTTCAGGAGATACTGCCAAAGTATGTTGACGAACTTTCTTTCTGGTCTCATTTAACATTATTCACGAGATGTCGTCAAATATTGAGGAAAATGTGAGTTTCTACCGATTAGAAGAATTGCCTCTCATATTAAGTGTTAGGAAGCACAAGTTGATCTTAAAGTGTCATAAATAGATATAGAAACGGCGTAAAAGGGGCGAATTTTTGATACTGCACCAAAAAAATTATTTTAGAAGCGCTGTAGTTTAAAAAACACCAAAGATTTTCAGAATCTTCCTCATAAAAACCTAAATACCGGATCTGCTACGTCATTAGCATTACTTTAAGCTTCGGTTTAAGCCCAAACTGGTCTAAATCGCTTTTGAGATATGATAGTGCTATTGTATAGTATCAATTTTTGGGCTCTTAGGATACTGTTATAACTTCTGATCAAAGCATTGTTCAGGGCTGCTGAACCGGATCCTTGATTAACATTAGAAAAAACCTTCCCTTACTTCCAAAGGTTTCTGAAAAAGTTTTCAAAATCAAAGCAATTCATCTTGTTTTTAGAACTTTTGTTGAAATTCAGAATAGACGGTAGACAAAATGAAGTATATGCCGAAAGTTTAAAGTATTTTGAACCGATTTTAACTGAGTGCGTTATCAATCCTTAAATAGCAAAAATTGGTTATATACCTACTACAGGTCTTCGTTAGGTTCTTGGATCCTTTTATAAAAACAAACATTGCCCCCAGGTTCAGCCTAGAAGCCTGTGTATAGAGTTATTTCTAAGGTTATCAGAGTTAATCGGACTTAGAAAGGTAGGTCCTGGCAAATTCTATGTCATTTGAAAATCGCGACAACTAGCGACCTCGGACCTGCATAGATCTGTAGAAGATACCATGGGCTGCCTAATCGGTAACTAAGTGGAACATTTATTTTCGGTTCAGTACCTGGTGCTCCCTTCTTTTTCCATATGCCAGATATATCGCCTGGAAGTTTAAAATTTTCCCCAAAAGGTCCCCATATCTGGTCGCATAGTCTGTGATTTTCACTAGAAAGTCGTGAAAACTGCATATTTTTATGAACATTTGAGTTATTGACGGATAATAAACGAAGTAAAATAAGATTCTCACAACAGTTTATATAAAGTCGTTTGAATATTTATTTATTCCGACGTTTCGAAAAATTATATTTTCATTTTCACGGAGTGTTTTAAATTTTTGAAACATCGGAATAAATAAATATTCAAATGACTTTTATGCAAAGCTCCTGTCGAAATCTTATTTTTATGTTTTTGTGATTATTCGCTTCCGACCTATTCAAAAAGTAACCGCATCTACTCTATTTTGACGTGGATAGAAGGTGTCCATATTTTAAAATTCGAGTACAAATTGTTTTTTGTTGTATTATGTGAAACATCTCACAGATGTTTTATCTTTAGATAATTTTGATCGATGACTATAAAAAATCTGTTGAAGATGGACATAATAAAATTTCGAATAAGTTGCGAGCGAATATTCATAAAAACATGCAGTTTTCACCATCTTGTAGTAAAAGTCACAGACTATCCACCCAAATATGGACTTGGAACATTTAAACTTCCAGGTGGTATATCTAGCACGTAGAAAAATAAGAGATCACCAGGTACTGAAGAGAAAATAAATGTTCAACTCAGTTACCGATTAGGCGGCTCAAAGTGTCCTCTGCAAATCTATAGAGATCCGAGATCGCTAATTGTCACATGTCGTAGTCTTAAGTCGCAAAAGTCTGCTTTGTTGTTTTCAAAGAACTTGTTGTTTGATTTTCGTCGTCGCAGTTCTCACCATTCGACGTTTCTTATTCAGTACGATGTGTATGATTATGTAATGCCAAATTATTTTTCAAATACTGCTCATATCCTGCATGTGTTATAATTAGCTGATCGATCTTGAAAGGACGCTGGTTTGACCAGGTTCGTCCATGATTATCAAAAGCAAGTTTGTGAAACCACAGAAATTTTTGAAAATAATTATTAGTGTTAGAAGGAAAATGCCATAGCTTCTACAAATATTAGACTAAGTACAACAAAAACGGACATAACGAAGGTGTCGCCTATCTTACCAGAGGATGTTCTGTATAGATTAACAATGCTAACCAAGTTTAAATACTCCATTGAGGACTTAGCAGATTCTGGCTGGAGACTGAATGAATTGTGCACATTTCAGCCCAATATTTTCCGTATGAGGCGCATAAAACAACTGGGCATACGCATAAGCAGGATAAAAATCTGACGTTACTTTTTTCTCATGGTGACAGAGGACTGACTGTATGTAGTACGAGAAAATTATACGCACGACAAAATGATGAATTTGTTGACCAGTAGTAATTTTTTGGACATCCACATGATTTATTCGAACATGTTAATCCTTGTGATGGATTACATGCAACCGCAGTGCATGATTGACCGTATGTTTGATAAGGAGCTAAAAATGACTAAAAATTATAAATCATCTACGATAACATATCTTAGTTTAATTACTTACAAAGTGGGCCAATTAAGAATAATAGTAGTAGCATGAAAACGAAAGCTGAGATGATGGTAACAATGTTCAGTGTTAACAACAGTTTCCACAAACGACAAACGTATAGACCTTTTTCCTTTGCTTCACACACCTTGTCCTCTAGTAATTGATCACTATCTTTAATGGGCGGTAATGAGACCTTGTGGTAAACAGCAAAAGAATTCTGTCTTTAACAATGTTTAATGTATTGAAACGTATTTCCCCTTACTTCAGTTAAATCATTTTGTGTGTTTGTCGGTGACACGACAGCAGCCGTTGAGGTCGGTAATTCATTCGGTTTTTCATTATCGCCTTCGATATCTTCAATTTTTAGAGCAGTTTTATTATTCTCCATATTGAATTTATAGTGAACTTGAAATAACATAACATATTTTTTGTCAATTTTATTTAAAATAAAGAGAAGTCTTACAAAAACTAAATTATTTTTTTAAACACATTATACGCACATATGGACAAAGAACATCTGTATAATAAAAGCAACATTCCACCAATGCATTTTCAGATATTCGATGTGCGATACTCTCGATAGCAGCTAATACCACTAAAAAAATCGATTTATTAAATCAGTCATAATTAACAGTTTAATCTCGGATTTCGAATAAGAAATATTATGAAATGTTCTCACACATTAAAGTTTTTCATCAATTCGTAGTATACAAGATACTATAGACGAAAAACGTTTTTAAAAACTTTAGTGTCTTTATTAATAAATTCATCAACTGATTGTATTTAAATGGAACAAAATAGTTTCTACGAGCAGTACTACTGTACTGCGAAGGAAAAAGAATCAGTATTTTGAATTTTGCACAAAGTTGCAGTATTTGTCATCCATTTCTGAGGAAAAAAACTGATTAACAACCACTTTAGCTTTCTATCTATATTCCAAAAGAAAGCGAGTAGTTTTCATTAACTCTTGAGAACTTTTATGAAAAACGTTTGCCTCAGAGAAGAGACAAAGAGTAAATTTATTCAAATACATGCATATATTTTAAATGAACTTAGTTCATGAACGATGACTGTTAATTGTCAGCATCTAGCTACATAATCTAAGACAAGATTCAATTTGTTTTTTTTTGTTTCGAAACTCTTGTACAGTCTATTGTCTTGACAATAAACTTCTTTCAACTAAAAAGTAGTAGAAACTATACAGGAGTGATAGAGTTATCACTCTACACGTTAAAATCTCGAGAAGGCTGATTCTACTACATGTTGGCTGCCGTCCTTTTTCATATTATTCTACGTTGTGAAGCTGAGCGAGACTGTGTATTTTGTGTGAGCGAATTATTTTATAAAAAAAAAACAATGAAAAATTCTAATCAGAATTGAGCGAACAGACGATTAAAATTTGAGTTTCAGAACGAAGTGGAAAAAATTCATGTATTGTGACCAACCTTGACATGAGAAGTGCTAGGAATCGTTTTGTTAGTGAACCATACAGCCACAGTTTTTTCATGTTAACAATTAGTAATCACTTTTTACAGTAATCCTGTAATTGATTTAAACTCGCATTGGTCTTTTCCACTATAAAATTTATGTGTTCTTGAGGATGATATTCAATAGGGATGTAACGGCTGCTTTGTCGTTACTAAATTTGTTCTCTCCTTTTCATTTCGAGTAGAGAAAGGTAAAAACTTTGTTTGACGGAATGTGTGAAGAAATAGAGAAAGTTCTTCTAAGAAATCAACTCATAAAGAATTAATTTCCGTTTCTGCACGTTACACGAAAAACGAGTCGTAATCGGACCTAGTTTAGTTCAGAAAAATGACTTTTGTTACTTTTTCTCAAAACATTGAAACCTATTTTCTTTGCACTTGACTTTTCGAAAAGTAGAGTTTTGGGTTAAGTTTTTATTCATTTGAATGATAAACATTCAAATAAAAGAAGAAGAAATTTATTTTCAATTATTATATTATTTAGTACGAATCGGTTTTCTTTAACTTGATTTAAGTTAGTCCATTTTCATTTCGTTTGCGAATTTCTTTTACTCCTCCTCCTATTGGAAACGTCGACTTCGATTTAATTCATTCAGCGTCATCTTACACAAGTGGAAGGAGCACAACATCACTATTCTTATTATAGAAAGAGTCCTCGATTTTTCTGATGAAAAAGGGAAAGAGTTCATTCGGAAATATGTTGATCACTTTACCTAATGATGGTATGTATAGCCAGAGTATTTAAGAAAATATGCCAACCTTTATCGAACACTAACAAAGATGACGACGGTATTTCATATAGTTTACGGATAATACTCTTATGGGGTTAGAGTAAAAAGAGTCTAAATTTAACTTATAGAACATAAAGTTAAAAAATAGGACTATTATCAAAATAACAACAAATGAAAACAAATATATATTGTATTAGTTTTCAGTAGGAAACAATAAACATTGAACTTGTGTTTTGTTGTAGTGAAAATAACCACTTAGTGGTAAAGATTAAATGAAAATAAATAACCTACTATGCTAAGTAACCAAAATAGTGGCTAAGCTAATTAGTACTGCTGTAGTAGTAATAATTTTAATTGGATTTCAATGTTTATTTCAAGTTCAATGTTTATTGTTTCCTACTGGACAATATATTTTTTTTTCATTTGTTGTTATTGTAATAATAGTTCTATTTTTTAATTTTATGTTCTATAAGTTAAGTTCAAATTTGTTTTCCGCATGTGTGAAACATGCAGCATTTATTTGTTTATTATTTATTCAGATTTTCCTCGCTTTTGTGTCTTATGACAGATCAACTTCTATTTCTTAAAGCAATCATTGTTTATAAAACACAATCTTGTCATTTTAATATAATGTACATGATAGTTTTACTTGATCAGGACCGTATACAGAGGCCGTATTGTTTTTTAACGATTGAACGAAATAAAGAGCATAACAGCCGCAATCATATACAAATGCTTATTAACACAACAATTCCCTTAGATGGAAAAGGCTTGCTCATTATGATCAATATATTTTGAAATGAATTAATATGAGAAAGCATTTCTAATCGATTCGCTATAATAGACTATCTATAGTCTGTAAGTTTTAATATCCGTACACGATTTTTTTTGTGTTATCAAAATTGACTGATCTTCCTCTTTTTTTGTGTCTTTGATAAGGTGATACGTTTTTACAGTATGAGAAGTCAGCCAATTTTTTTGATAATATTTTCTTTTACTCTATTTTGACAATCCATACTCATGCGTTTTTTTATTAGAAGATGATCTTTCTCTCAAACGACAAGTTTTGTGCATAAGTGGCTTTTCTTTGGCTATGTGCAATTTTTCGCTTTTTGTTCCCAGGCAGTAGAAATAAATAAATTCAAGACAAATATACAAAAAGGAACATGTGAATACACAGAATCCGTACAAAACCTCTGCAGAACCTTTTTTGAAAGCAGGGGAAAAAGGTATAGTACGAAACCTAAAAAAGGTTTAGAAATGGTTTCAATTATCGAAATCCTTCCGCACGGCATCTTACCAAAAATTGTTAATATCAAGTTTTGGACATTCACGATATTTATTCAGAACTGCGGCAGCATTTACTACAACAGATATCAAAGTATTATGACTGATAGAATTTCAATTTTTACCGTCGATATTTGATTCTTTCATTATTAGTTAGTTTGAACGGCAATTTCAAAAAATAATTATCAAACTGGCCTCTGATGGAAAGAAACTTTTTTAACCCTTGAGAAGCTATATAAAACAGTTGCTGATGATAGAAACAGATAATTTTGTTTGTATGCGGTGTTCTGTAAGAAGTCCTTCATGCATCCAGTATAGTCTACCACATTTTTTAAAAATTTTTTTCTTGACAAAATACGAGTGTGAGTGAGTGATGTTTCCAACAACGTTGCACTTTATCTTTTTTTCCACTATGTTGTTGTAAGTAAAATAGAGATTTATTTAAAATTCTCTAGAGAGCGATTGTTAAAAAAATAGATTTAGAGTATTAAAGATTACAGAAGAAGCAATTTCGAGTTTTTCTGGTGTCTTATGCATTCAATCTATTCACTAGATCATGTTCTGAGAAGTCTGAAGTGGTTTAACTGAATGAACGAGATATGAATAGGGTAAAGATCTCCTATGTAATTTTTTTCGCATTTGATCTCAACAAGACTTTTCATAGAATGTGGAACATATTATTACATGGAAACATTAATGTTATAATAATGTTTCGTTTCGTATATGCCGCAAATAGGAAAGGTTAGATTTCACTATATACGTGTAAACAAAATTTAACTCGATGTTTTTTGGTAATTTCAAGTGATTTGATTATAAAACGTCGAAAACTGCAGGTATTTTTCTCTTCACTGTTCAACTTCTTTGGATTTGTAATTTTTTGTTTTCTAACTTTGATCAGGTTTTATTAATGATTCAAACATAGTGGTATTTAAAACAACTTGTTTCAGAAGTAAAACACACCACCAAAGTCAGTCTAACAAGGGAACATTCCGAAGTGTCCCCCTAGGATTTTGGAGACATACATGGGATCTGCTTGAGCTACGTGCGCTGATCACAAATATGATATTTGTAACTGTTACCATTAGCTCGCTGGTGAGTTAGAGTAGTTTTATTTTACTTTGGTCAAAAAATGACCTATTTTCGAACGATCACACTTTTTTGCAGATACGTAATTCACATTTATTTAATATGCTGTTTTGTTAAGGAACTCTTCATCTACAATTTGTTATATGGGACAACAATCTGTGAAATTAGTCACATAGTATTGTGGGATCCCTATCAGTAAAGATAGGAGAAAAAACTTCGCCTATAGCGATCTGTCAGTCAAACTTGACGAAAGATGATTGTGTATGTGCGTATAAAAGAAACTGTACATCTATATCTCTTTGATTGAACGTATCACATTACTTTATCGTTTCTATAAAAATCAAATTTCAACTTTCTCTCATCAATTATTCAATAAATAACTAAACAAAAAAATATATCGTAACATCCACTTAATCTCATCTAAACATAGCCATTGTAGCTGTAATAATGATAAAAAGAAACAGTTAAAAAGAAACACGCAAAATAAAAACAGATTATCAAAATAACCGACATAACAAAGAAATATGTCATCATGCTCGGTAAAGAATACTACTAATTTGAGAAAAAAAATTTTTTAATAGTTTCCTATCAGATCCACTGGTGTTCTTGTTTTAAATGGAAAATGAAGAAAACCACGTTATAATTATTAAAAATGAATGTTTTTTACATTTTCAGTGTTAACCAAACAAAATATAATTTCATATACTTGCTATTTAGTAAGTGACTTTAAGACTCTTAGAATCCGTGTTTATCATTTGCTATCTAATCAATGAATCATCATATCTCGTATTAATATGTTCTAGTAGTAAACTCACTATTTTGGATAGAGCAACAGATTTGTACATCTAAAAATGGCTATTGTTTTCATTTGTGCTTCATCGATGACATGTGCATCCCATACTTGTGTCGTTTTACCACCGTGAATTAGCTCGGCATGGCATAAAATCGATCCTTCTCTTACTGATCCCAAAAAATTTGCTTTTAATTCAATTGTGGTAAATGAGAGAGCATTGGCCGGTTTTGAATCAAATGTGCCATACCCACATGCAGTATCAGCGAAAGTTACAACTAATCCAGCATGTAAATAGCCATTAGGTGCATGAAATTTGGGTCGAACTTGAAGACGAAGTTGGACATAACCATGTTGTATATCAATGACTTCTATATCGAGATAGCCAGGAAATTTACCGATACCAAGTTGATTATAGGACATGATACGTTTGTGTTGAGTAAGAAATTCATCATAGGTCATTATATCGATTAAATGTTTCAATTGACGAGAATAACGTTCTAAATAGAGACACAAAACATAAACAAAAACACTAATAAACGTTTTAAATTTAACTCAAAGTCTTATCTATCTACATACTCATTAGTTCTTCATTCGTCGTGATGTATATCGGATCTCTTATTGGGGAATGTTGTGCTTGAATAATCAAATTTAAATCGGATTTGAATTGTTCTTGATGTTTAACATTGAAATTATTAAGTAGTAAATCATAGACTTCATGATTGATTTCTGAATCAACATACTGGAATATTCGTGGGATATTCTTTGCTCCAACGAGTTGTTTACATGTTAGAGTATAGTAAAATTTATGATGACCTTTATCCACAATACTTCGTAAAAGTTCATCTTTTTGATCAATGTAGTTTGTGAGAAGTGTAGGATCACAAAAGTAATTTTTCGAAGATGGACGAGTCGATAGAGAACGAGTAAATAGTAGTAACGTACGAGATGGTGAGATGAGTAATTTTGCAAGAGTGCACATATTGAATATTTAAAACGAAACAAGGAATTATTACGTCTATGCGATATATTCTGGACGAAGTCTTATTTTGTTGTATTCTAAAAATTCAAAATCTTTCTAAGTAAATAAAAGACTATTATGTTTTCTGGTTACGAGTCAACTCTCTAAGTGAAGAAAGCAAAGTAAGATTTGTCACTTCCGTCTTTAAGTATTTTAGAAGAAGAGACTAGCACGTAACGAAAATGTATTTCGTATCATGATTCTTGAAATTGTGCATATATCAAGTATAAAAGGCATTAAGATGTAAGAGTATTAAGAAATAGTAAGTAAATTAAGACTCATTATAGTATATATATCCTCGTGGAAAAAAATAGTTCCACACAGTATTTTTAAGATATTTTCCTTACGAAAATATACTTTTACAAAAATGATCACATATTCTGATAGCGCTTGGAATTTTCTACAATTCTGTATATTTAAATCTGGTCTTGCATTTATTTGTTGAAAAATACACTGAGTGCAATGACGGCCCCCTCATCGTCAGATTCCCAGAAATTGTAATCAGTGTGGCATCTCAATATTTTCTATTTTTCTCGTGTTTCTTTAGGACCCAAAGGTTAATGATTTTTTAAAAAGATGCACCGTGAAATGCTCTACAAAACCATACCTAACCTTGAATTTTAGAGCTTCAATCACGAAAACTACCCAGATTATACGAAAGACGAAAAAAATGAAAACTTTGAAAATCTGTTATTTTTTCCACCTGAACCTTTTTCTTTTGCTATTATTTCCGTAAAAAAAGGGTTCCAAAAGTGGGAAGTCAGTTCGTTTTGTACTTCTGAATGTGCTCTTTCTCGTGGTCTGTAAAAAATCTTTTAGAACAGATGCACAGTGGGCATTTAGGCGGCGTTTTCTGAAAAAATCGTAGATGCGAATTTTTTTGTTTTGAATAGTGGTGTATATAGTATAAACAATTCCCTATTTAATGATAAAAAAAATTTTGTTCTAGCTCCTTCCAAAGCTGAGAAAACTGAATTACAAAATTACCATTAGAATTAGCCCGTTGGTACTTAAAATTGCATTTTCTCCATCAAAGGCTAAATTTTTTCGAACAAAAAATCACATTTTTAAAATCGTCAGGTGTTGGGCTTTCTAGACCTAAAAAAACATTTTGACTAGTACATTAAATTTTTGTGAAGGCGCGAAGATCTTTCCAGAAACCCGTCAGATAAAAAAGGTGT